GAGGGACACAGAAACACAACACAAACGCCATTCTGGTCGGCTCCTTGCTATGTCAAGTAGTCTATCCAGTCAGACGTGTCCATTGTCATTCGGTCCTGAGCCAGGTAGTCGAGAAACACATTCGGATGCTAATTTCGAAGTGAGGACTTCATCCCTCTTAACCAAGTCATCTCCTGCCTCCTCTTCTTCCATCCAAAGCCCAGTCGCGCAACACTTGGCCTAGCCATCGAAGCCTGGTGCGTGATATAACGGGGCTGAGCGGTTCACTCGCTCTGCCTACACCAAATACACGACGCCGTACACGCTCATCGCTCACGCTGCAAACGCAGTGGTGATCGAACGTGACGAGCCTCTTTATGTCTGTCGACCTGATGGGCCAGCTTCCACAACCGTATAGGAGGGTTGAACGTACGGCTACATTGTGAAATCTACCCTTCAGGGCGACGACTTCTAGCTGATCACTACCAAGCGTCAGCGCATAGTCGAGCCCCTGCCAATCTGGGAAATAAGCTTTGCATTTCGAGGGTGCAAAGCATGGTGCGGAACGACTGACAGGCAGTGCTAATTTGTCCAGTGCTACTTGGCACGTTTGGAAGCTGTCACGCACAAGGAGGATGTCATGGGCTCACTCCAAATTAAGAAGTCAGTCACCTGAGAGCAGCCCCACGCCTTGCAGGTCGTGACTGGCGAACGAAGTCTCCATGACTTGTTTAATCGAGAAGTGAAAAAGGAGTGACAACTGGCATCCTTGTCTCACACCGCTGGAGTTGTTGGAGGGTGGCGACAGCTTCCCGTAAACCCTCACTCTCTCCGAACTAAACGCGTTACGCGCTTTGATAATATTTACGTAATTTTAGGCACATCTTTCCTGAGTAGACAGTGCCGAAAGACACATCGGTCAACCGAATCAAAGGCACCCTTGATGTCGAGGAACACGATTACGGGGACTCGGCGATAAATATGGTGGTGCTCCATCAATTGACGTAAAGTAAAGATGTAACCAATACAGCCACGATTTCGACAAAACCCGGCTTACTCTTCACGAATCTCTCTTTTGCTAATGTCAACAAGTCTATGAAGAACGGCAGAGGCAAATATTTTAGAAGCAGTTGCGGTCAGGCTGATCCCTTCTATGATTGCCGCATTCGGAACGGAAGCCCATTTTGAAAATTGGAATAGTTTTTTGCTCCCGCATCCTCACAAGTAAGTTGCGCAGATCATCTACAAGAGCTAGTCCCTCAAATTTGAAGAGGACTGGAGAAAGTTTAACTGCTCCCACGGTCTTTAACAATCTGCTTTCACATTCGACTTCTACGCCTGAAGGCGGGTTCAGGTGGACGGCGTAAGGAGAAGTGCGATCATTGGCCGATGGAGAAGCTGATAAATCTGGTTGATTAAGGTGTTTTTCAAACTGCTCGGCCGAACGCTCCAAGCGTCTTAACAAACTGTGGATTGACTGCCCACCCTCGTCACGTGTTATCTCGCTAACACCAGGTTTCTTGTAACCCGATCGCGTATCAGACGGAATAAATTCCCATGGTTAACAAGGGAAACGCCCATTTCCATCTCCGATGCGTTATGAGGCCACCAGACTTCTAGGTCTCTCTTCAGACGAGCACGCAGTTTCGTCCTGAGATCTTTGCGAATTTCATTGCATTCGCGTTCAGCCGGGATGTGTCTGCAAGCATCCAAGAATTTCGGAGACTGCATAGAGACTCAATGTCCCGTTTGGCAATTTCACGTGTCACATGAAGACACGCCTGCTGCTAATAACGTCTGGTAAATATGCCACCAGTGGTCCTCCACTGTGCTCATATAGCGTGTACTCAGCCCGCATGTCAGCGTACTTTGATACGCATTCAAAATATCTGGCTTCGCTAGCTGGCATGTAGCTATGCGCTCACAGCGACGCCGCATGCGCCCACCGAAACGGACGGTAAGATGGACACAAACGAGTTAGTGGCCAGAGTCCACTTTCGTGCTCCAAATCGAGTGACAGTTTTAGACACAGCCTTTCCATTGCTAACTGATCGCCGTGTGATCGATTTACGTCCCTGGTTTAGCTGATGCTAGGCGCCATGTCACCCTCCGGCGGGTGTTGTGTCGGAAGTTAGCGCGTTTCGGGAGGTCCAGAATACAAGTCGTTTTCGTATGATTGTATCGGGGCTATGTTCCGCTCTTGACGCAGACTCCGCATCAGCACTAGCGCTTTAATTATGTGGGATGTATTCTGCTTGACGGGACCACTATTTAGAGTTAATCCAAAGTAGCCTAAGGTACCTTCCGATTTTCGACCCGCATTGGGGTATCATCTGCATATTCCAAATCGATTAGCTTCTCTTAATGCTGGATCTTAGTACATGCGTCATTGGATTATGTAAAGAAACACGTCATAATGTTTACTATAAAGTTGAATAAAAACGGGGAATTTAGTGGCCCTTTTGTACACCACTTACCACTGGGAAAGCATCCGACAACTGCCGTTAGCCCCTATTCGTCCTTTAGTCTCCCGATACCGGACAGATTGAACATTTGCGTGTTTGATGGGGACACCTTTTTGGCCAAGCATATTGAATAAAATGGAGCAGCTGATCGAGTCAAAGTCCATCTTGGTATCAAGATACGCAGTCACAGCCGGTCTTTGACACGTTTTACTTTCCTCTGGCACCTGCCGCGGAGTGGAAAAACGATCGATACAGCCCGCCTCGGTTTTGCGTTCTACGGGGAACGGGAATGAAGTCTAGTAAATTAGTTGCTACTTACATCAGACCTATCTTTCCATATCGTTTGAATCAAGTGAACCTGTCTCTTGCGGAGCACCTTAACATCACCCGTAAATAGCGGCGGCGTGAGAATTGGGATCACTTGCTTAGAAACGGTAAATAGCAACGATTTATAACCTGAGCTCCAGGTGGCACACCTAAACTAACCCTCGTAGTTCAGCTCACACTGCCTGGACTCAAGTCAGTCTGGTAGAGGGCGAAGTAAACTACACCTAGAAGTGTCCCACTCAACGAACTAGGTGGTGCTCCTTTTTGTAGATTAAATCACCGGGGCTATCCGTTATAGTACAACATGGATATGTTCTTGCAATTCGTGGCCCGAAGTCATGCCGATCCTATCTTTTCCGTCCTCTCAATCATTGTATTCATTTACACAGATTCTGCTTTAATTCACACTTGATTGCCCATCTGGTCTCAATATGCTCTGTGCCGTTTTGGTATTCTACTTCTCAATACGTTTGCCGTCCTTTCCGATATCCGCTGATCGGTACGTTGATGACTAGCATCGTTGTAATCAGGAGCTATTGTGTTGTGTATGACAGCGGATGTCTTTTTCCGATTAAGCTCGGTTCCCTCTTAACAGTTGGGAAACGTTTAATGTGCAGGTATCCCCGGTGGTATTGTTCAACCGTGGGCCGCAACTGGTGCATGCTTGCCAGTTGTGGTACTCGTTTGCTGCGCTCCCTCGCAACGTTTTAAGGAAACCGGCGCCGTGCCATTGCATGATCAGAGTGGATGCTAGTTGTCCAAAATAAACCGTGGCGACAGGGGAAACCACACCACCCGACGATTACGGCACAAAGGTCCAGCTGGGTTCACCGTTAACCAACTGTTGGAGAACACTAAGTTGCCCATCGATGTACACTGTGTTTAAGGCAGTGCTGCTTGTAACAAACGATGGTCCGTGAGTGGTTGCACCAAGCGTTCACCGTTGTCCTTTTGTTCGGGATGAGGGTCGGACCTTTCACCTAGCAGTGTATTTAAGGGACTCATACGTACTACTTTCGCAGTGGTATCCTCTATGACTAGAACTATGTATCAACCGATAGTGCTGCGACAGGTCACTTTCGGTTCACATTAGAAGCCCTCTTTAGGAGTTTCATGACTGCACTCCATCAGTACATAGGCGATAGTCATCACTGAACCGTACCTAGTGTTTCCCATACGCAAACCTTCGTAGACTGTGTCAAACGAGCTACAAACAAATGACGGTACATGGGGCCCAATCAGTCAGTGAGGATTCAGCTCTAGGGCAGAAAATATGGTCCACAGTAGCCTGATCTGTGATCGCTGCATCACATACAAACAGCAGCGAAAAGATAAGTTGTGGGCACTTAGTTCAACAACCGCATGAGATTCGCGGACTATTTTCGGTGGTCCAACACCTACCAATGCTCAAGACGTTTAGCGTTGCTTCAATTGCGTCTTGTGTGAAAGTTTAATGCTGTCATGGAAACAGAGCAATGTGACCTGATTAGAGGCTGCTGTTAATAAATAGCCGAAGAGAATTGTCAGATTATAGCTGAAGATGACTATATTTCGGTAGTGGTGCAATCCTATTACATTGGAACCGTCGAGATGAGGGTTTCTAAGTTGTGTTGAGATCATTGTAAGGATAACAGGCGGAAAATAAAGTAGAGTGGCATCAGCGGTGGTCCGTTTTCGCTTATCCATCCTGCCATATGCAGCCCATAAAACGATCCATTCTGATTCGCGCGACGTCCGATGCAGAATAGTCCCGGGGTTTGAACAAAACGTGTGTGAAACGTGTTACCACAATGGCGCGCCTATCTGGATCCTTAACCAATCACTTTGGCCCAAAAACCTGACTGGAATGCAGCGTGGATGTGTGTGTCTCCCGCAAGATGGGCCTGTTTTCAGCAGTGAGTGCAGTCTTTCTAATCTCCAGTCTGGCGAACCGTGGGATTGGGTTTATTTTCCATGTAACCATTCACAAACGTGGTACGAGTAGATCTCGAGACGTAATTAATCCAGTCGATAAGTGTCAATAGATCAGAGAAGCACACAGAAAATCTCCTCATCTCCAAGGCCGGTCTCATTACGACGAGTCATTTGGCCCTTGGCTGGTTATATGTAGACGCAACTCCGTATCTTAGGGTCGCTATCCTTGCTCCTATTTATTGTTGTCACTCGTTTTACAGTGTGACACTGCCAAAATTTTGTAAACCCTGTTGTGCTTTCGCTTAGAGTCGTTGAATGATAATCAACACACGCGTCTCTGCATCCACAACCGTAAGTTTGCCAGTTTGTTCTCTGGTAACAGGTCTTAACACTGCTTATCATTGTTTGGTTCTTGCTTCTGTTTTTCCATCTCTCAAACAAAGCACAATCTGTGCTAAGGAGCCTATGGCGAAACCGTCACCCCGCACATCTCCATTCCTGTCTATCATTTGCGAGCACATTTTCTGGGTGCTCACTGAGTAAAGTGTTACTTAGTGGTGACAAATAGTTCATATTCAGCCTTGTGGCTCTCCGTTCTTTTGTCTATCAGTTCAGTTCTATTCAGCATACGTAATATATTTACCACTGATGGCTGCTCTCTTTCCTTCACGCTTACCCTCGCTCGTCTTTCATCACTGTTATTCTGGCGCTTGCAGTTAGCCATTGCTCCAAGTCCTGCTTTCCTCCTTCTACATCTTGAAATACCGAAATCTGAGACATCCCTAGAACTGTGCACACCACTCACGTGTTCTTTCGACACTTTCCAAACATTTTTCTTCCCCAACGATTAGCCTTCGCACTTTTCAATACGAAGCCCTCAATCATTCGTTAGTTTATTTACTTTTTTATTAGTATTAAGAACGAGCTTATTGATTGAAGAGTCATTTGAACTACTCGTCGTGTGAATGAATTGCGACGTGCGATCTTTTTGAGGACCGGGATTCGCACTAAAACGAACCTTGCTCAGTTCTAAACTGGCGCCGTGGCCGAAGCAGGTGGAAATTGGGTGCTGCCCGCCCAATGACACTGCATTCCGCGATGCGTTTTGACCTTGTTTGATCTTATTGGGTAGAGGTACCAGGCGTCGAACCTGGGAGCTTTGGGATACTGGTTGGGGCTTATACCTCTAGTCACCGGGTTACGACGGACATCTCTTGGCCACAGTTAATTACTGATTGGAGGGTCATTTTGAGGTACTAATTCTGTGATCGGGTTATCACGTGCAATTTCAATATAGATCGCGCTTCGAATTGCATTGAACTTTGGGCCGTAACTCATGAAGCAGTTAGATATTGGGTGTTGTCCGCCGGAGTTTACCGTTATCGCAACTAGCTTCGTATCGATAACTCTGCATTCCGATATTGGCTTGCCGAACAACATCCACGGCATGCCAGCTGGGTGGTTCGGGTTTCTCCCGTTCCAGCAAATGGTTCAACGACAATGTTCCAGGACGTAGTGGGTTTTCGCCTGACAAGCCTTCTGCTTATAAAAAACCACTTATGTATGTTTAGCAACACTACGACGCGTGGGGTGTGACTCGCCGACAAATAAAGTTACTGCCCCTTGCTTCCTACTGGTGCAGTCTTGTGTTCCAGCAAGTTGATGCTGAAACTGTGGGGAGCATTGGGCCCCTGTTTGGCAAACAAAAGACGTATGAACTGAGCAATCAGTCCTCGGCTCACAATGGGCGCGATTCCTTGAATTCGCCCCGCTGTCTTACGGGCAGGCTATTCGATCAAGGCTCGGGGTGGTGTCCCCTAAAATTCCTCTTGGGCAACCGGGTAGCATCGTGCCCTCTGACGAGACTGTGGACTCCTCTGTGTTATGCTGTTGTTTTCTTTTTACAACTGTACCCTCCTTTGAGTTCCATGGTTTTTGGTGGTTCCAAGTCTATTCATAGACTGTTAATAAAAATTGCACACCTTTCACTTTTCTCCAGCGCAATGAAAACGCTTTATCGGTCGCACCGAACTATTCGGCTCCGGTCAGGTTCCGAAGGACAGTTGTATAAAGCCACCTAGAACCCGAGAGCTTTGTGATCCTCCAATTCATTCCCGAACGCCCGTCTACATGTGAGTTTTATTATGCCCTTTATACTTTACTTTTCTAACCACGAAACTGAAATGTTTAAGCGGACCGATGTGAGTTGGCGCTCTTATATAGTAAGAATATTGTATTTGCTGCGCCAGTGTCTATGCGTGTACCTCGCCGCTCGACTCGCTCTCTTTTTTACTGTTGGCCTGAACACCTAGTGGTTCATCATCATCATCAACAGCAGTACATCTGCCACACAACTACAACGAGACGAAGAATAATAAGAGGGATAGAAGAGGAACTTGCCGGAAAAACTTAATGACCCAAGCAAATGTTCAGGGTTAAGGCGCCTGCACCTTGTCAACGACATAGCGTCACAAACAACTGGCTACCATGCAAAGTTTAGGCGGCATCAGCGAAACAGCTTCCTTGCGGCTTTCACTACACCCCGTCATAAGCAGCCATTACCCCGCAGATAACTCAGCACTAAATGCACTTTAAATAGGCAGCTCGACTAGGAGACGAAGCAGACGCGCCGCTGGTATCGACTGCGAGCCATGGTTTTGTAAACTCTCAAGCCAAACACAAAGTAGGTCACATGGGCTCCAGCCAGAAAGGCGAGACGGACTGACGGCACCCAGTTTGGTCCTCAGTGACTTCATTTCCCGCTGCCAAATCAACTTTTGTCCACCTCGAGCCTTGCACCACCCTACATTTAGCAGAAAAAACAAGGACCTCCTTTGTAAGCGGTGACCGGGCATAGGTAGTACGGGCCCAACCAACGCACCTTATTCAGTCGTGGTTAGCCCTCATTAACTCATCGTTCTCCTATCAAGCTCGACGATCTAACGGGTCCCATCTCCTACTTTTACAGGATTTTGACGTCCTTCCGCAGTCTGGATGAAAACACTTCAGTTTCCCACCAAACTGCGTCACGTTGGGACTGTCGCGCCCAGTGAATTCTCTACATGTACAGTCGCTGCAACATCGCATAAATGCTTTATTCTTTGTGCCTTCCATACCACAGAAAATACTGATAGTTGTAAAAATGAGTACTTTCCACTCCCACCGGACTCATTGCATCTCTGTTACGCGTAAACACTGTATGTTCAAGCGTACGACAGAATGTAGCCTACTCGCACCCGAATCACACACGCTCCCTTCCCACGCTTTCAGTTTCTTCATTTTCGATTATTGAAACCATGATGATACTTCTATTGTTTTTCACTTTTGTGCGATTCGTTGTTTCTTTTTATTATCAATATCCATATTTCTTGCCAAATGAGTTGCGCGTTTTCGATTCAACGTTCCAATTTTTTACCTTCAATTATTGCTAATCCTATATATATATATATATATATATATAGCGACGTCCGGTTCCGGGTTTGCCTGTCACTGCGGTCTCCACGAACAGCCACAGGACGTCTGCACCTACAGAGAGACCATAGGTGTCTTGCGCTCCATCCACACACCCCATATCCAGTGTAAATCGGAAGAGACAAAACCCAGAGGCATGTGGATGGGAGCCACGTTTCATCAACGGAGCCGGCCCACACTCCTTCAACATGCATAACAGCAGCATATCTATCTTGCGTAATAGGCGTGCACAAGGCGGTGGCTGGGCCGTAATCCGCTCCACACTGGTTGGAAGCACTCTTTGAGCCTAGCACGGCCGCGAGGACCGTGCACCCCGCCCCACAGTAACGATTCAGTCTCCTGAACCCAGTAATCGAGGTGGAGGGTGTTAGACAGATAGGCATGTTGCCAACATTCACATCAAGCACAGCCACACGGGGCTATCAATCAACAGCCAACACCTGAACTGTAAGGACTTCAACACACAGACCAACTGCAATGATAAAGTAACACGTAACACATCAACCACCTTATTGACCTAGATTAGTAAATGGAATCTTAAGCAGCGTACTTACCAAGCACTGTTCCTTTGGTGCGTACCTATTCATCTGACTCGTCTTCGCTTACATTTTGGCCCCATGTGCCCACGCTGATGGCTTACCCGGCGGGTTTGGCTGAGATACGTGCGACTGCAAATGCTCCAGCACAATGCCCTACCCACCATCAGCGAGATGAATTGTCAACGGCTAACAACGATTCACAATGAATATAACATCGGATAGGAACCATTGACGATCCGTTGACATTGCACCTAGCGTGTCTCTGTTTCGTGGTACGATTCCATCAACCAATCAGTGTGTGTTTCCTGTGAAGGTCACTAGTAGCACTCGGCCAATGTCAATGTAACACCTATTCCGCGGGCCAAATGCGGTCGCGTTAACACTTCAAGTGGCCAGCGGCCTTATCATGAACTAATGAGTTTAAGCATGGATTCTTTCCATATTAACGACATAAATTACAAAAAATTAAGGACGTTATGTGTGCGAAGCTCAGTGGCGCCAGATGCTGGCAAAAATCAACCATGTCGCCTTTTTAACTAACCAGGAAATCTCCAACAGTGCTTTTGCCAAAGGGGTGTTAACTAAATCAACAAATGAAAAGTTGGGTTCGTGTACACTTTATAAGTATGACCAGCTAAAGCTAGTCCGTTATGGGAGTGGAATTTTTGTCTTAAGGTTTATCTCGGTCTCCAAATTTTGTTGTGCTATAATTTACTTTAACGTACTTCCTCAGACAGCAGTTTCACTTTTTTGATTATTTAATTCCGCAAAAAGCAGAATTTTTCCACCTCTTTACCTTTTTATTAGTTGATTTTCCTTTCTAGTATGCACGAGATGAAGTGATTCTCACTTATGTCATGTCTTCCGTTTCAAATCCATTTTACTGGACTTGCTTATCTCAGTTCTACATTTCACATTAGAAACTGAATAAAAATTTTATAAACTGCTATTTTTGTTATTATTTTACTCCTAGACTGTATATGGCTTGACATATTTTTCCTCACAGAATGTGACCACACTTGCGAACATTTTTGACTTCTATAGGCGTAGTTCAACGTCTACACTACAAGCGCCCAATCGAACGGCCCCCGCAGCTCTCCCACTACGTACCCGTAACCGCAAAACACAGGCCCTACTAAACTTTGTTATTCTTGCCTTCCCCCTTTACTTATTGGCGTAACGCAAAGGTGTGTGCCTCACCCACGTCTAGCAGCATATCCTACGTA